CACCCACCCCCTGCTGTTGGCATCTCCTCAGTTATTCCCTTAACGTGAAGAGAATTGCATTTGTTTTTCTACGTCTCCAGTCCAGACAGCAGGTAACATCGCCAAAACTAGTTGATAACAGAATAATCACAATTTTCCTGATAGTAGACATCCTGGGATGTGTAGTCCCAGCAAGTTTGCAACTTCTACTTCCTGTTTCCTACAGACATGCATCTGATGTAATGACACTTTGCGTAGCCTGGTTGAGTTGCTTGAATTAAAAAAAAATCCTGGATCCGCACCGTGATCCGTAACATCACCAAAACTTAATGGTGTGTTCCTTTGGCCAATACCCACATGTGGTAAAAATTTCATGACAATCTGTCCACAAGTTTTTGAGAATTTTTTTTTCCCACAGACAGACAGACATAGGCAACCGAAAACATTACCTCCTCCCTTGGCGGAGGTAATAAGAAAAAAAACACAAAAGCACAATCCATGACTTTCTAGCTTCTTGAACCATCTTAAGCTGTTGTCTGAGAGCTACAGTATCAGGCCCCTTCATTAAAATGTTGCTACATTTGATAGATGTCATTCCTGTACAGTTCTGGTAAGGGTCCACATCTGGATTTCAGGGTGAGGTCTGGACTTTGTCAAGTTAAAATCTTTATTGTTTTGTTTTGTTTTCAGCCATTCTGATGCTTTAAAATCATTGTTCTGTTGGACAAGTTGTCAGACAGATGGTCTCACATTCGACTCTAGAATACTTTGGTAAATGGGACTTCAAAGCTGACTTTCTTCATAAACACTCCACCATCATACTGCACAGTTGTGATGAGGTGTTTGTGCCGATGGGCTGTGTTTGGTTTCCATCAAATGTGCTGCTGTGCATTATGGCCCAAAATGTCTATTTTAGTCTAATCTGTCCATAAGACACTGTTCTAGAGGTCATGTGGTTCAATCAGATGTAACTTTGTGTAAGAAAAACTTCTACTAAGTAACCAAATGTAATGCAGACTATGTTATTCTGTATTTTTTTTAACTAGTTTGATACTCTATTAGAAGAAAAAGATGCAACAGGAATTGCATGTTGTAAAAACCATTTATACACTGCCCTGAGCTCAAATTGTGGACGAGTGGTTCAGGGAGCATGTGGCATTTTCACACATGGATTGGGCACACAGAGTCCAGATCTGAACCCCATTGAGAATCTTTGGGATGTGCTGGAGAAAACTTTTTCTAGTGATCTGAATCTCCTGTCATATTGATGACAGGAGATTCAGATCACTAGAAAACGTTTTCTTGTATTGACAAGATCTTGGTGAAAAATTACTGTAACTCTGGAGAAGAAGTGACCTTTTTTGCTTGGAAAGTTCCATCTCTGACCCTCTTGACCTAATCACCAACAAATTGTGTCAGAACACAGATAAAAACTTCATCTCACTTGCTTTCAAACACAAAGACTCTTTGGTGAAAGACGTGGTCATGGCGACATCACTCCATTGACAAAATTTTTGGCTCTAAATTCCATTTCAGCCCATCAGCACGTAATTCACTATTGTCGATCCTAATCCATCCCATTCACTACATGAATGCAGTGCAATTTCTTGACGGCGTGGCCTAATTCCTCCACAGCACTCCCTACAAATATTTTAAAAATCAGCCTCAAGCCATGATTGGACCTGGAATCATGAAATTTGGTACACGTGTAATGCCTCAGGACCTACACAAAAGTCTCTTGGAGTCATGGTCCAAACCCCACTGGAAGTCAGAATCTGAGCTAACTCCCCCTACAGCTTTGAACATGCAGACTTCACAAGCTGCATGCTTCTCTCAAAGCTGACTGGTGGTGGGAGGGTGTGGGTGTGGCAGAGTGGTGCATCTTAAAGCCTCGCCATTTGCACACGGTTAGCTCTAAATCACAAGTACATGATCTGATCTGAACCAGACTTTGTGTGCACTATCAGGGACACCTGATCTTGTTCTATATTTAATAAGAACACCACTGCCTGAAACAATCAGCATCTGCTTTTTATGTTTGTTTTTTCTCTTTAAAAGTAAATAATCTTTCTCTCTGCTCTATATTAAATTATGAATCGTATGAAAGTTGCTCTATGAAACTGCAGACTCAAGGGAAGCAACAGTTGCTTCTTGCTGATATTGTTCCTCCCTGGCATTGTGTTAAAACACATTTGAACACTTCAGAGCAGCAACCTGATGAAGTGCTCAAAATTAAAGTGTGCCAATAATCAACTGATATTATTTTTATTAAACTAATTTAAAATCTGTGCATGTCGAAAACAAAACAGCAGCAGCTGTTTCAGGGAGCTCATTGCATCTCAGTATTTAGTTATTTTGGAGGTTAAAACTCTTCTTTTTATATTTATGTGTTAAAAACCCTTTAAATGTTCTCAAAAGAATGTTTAAATGATGCAAAAACAGTACTTTTAAACAACAAACGTTTATTTGCCACAAATATAAAGGAATAATAATGTTTTTGTCTTATTGTTAAAAAAGAGAACACAGTTCTCTATTGTAAGCTTTTGTTTTCAGAATTTAGAAAGTATTTAGGTATTTTGAAAAGAAAAGATAATTGTGTTGTGGGAATCTTTAAGCACCTGATGTTTTGATTCAATTGTGACTCATAGAGCTGCGATGGGATTATCAAATGATGTTCCATAACCTTACTTGATCCTGAGCATAGAACCTGCCAGACCTAAAACAAACTAATTTTGCTCTACACAGTCTAAAACAGGCCTATTCAATTAATTTTTCTGCTGGGCCAGATTTGAAAATTTTGAGATGCCACTGGGCCGAAGACCCACCTACTTATATTATTTCATGAGATTTAACTTTAAATATACGTGAACAAAATCATAAAAATAAATGAAGGAATTCACAATTTATATTGCATCATCTATTGATGAGTAAAATACTTACAAGTGCACTGCAAACTAACAATTGGTCCAAATCTTGAGAAGAATATTTTAACAAGGTATACAACACACACGTTTAATAAAAAAAATAATGTTTGACAACTTTTGTCAACAGTAAAATCTTCACATTTTATGGCAGCAAAAATGCATTTGATGAACTAGAAAGGCCAAATGAAGCAGTGCAT